TGTTCAGGTGAGAGAGCACAAGCCTGGGTGCCCAAAGAAGTTATGGAGTCTCCCTCTCTGGAGACCTTCAGAAGCCTATAGAGGCTTCTATATATATATATATATTCATCTATAGAGGGACCTGGGCAAACTGTTCTAGATATCCCCATTTGAGCATGGCAGGGGGTGGGGGGGTGAGAAGGTAGAGATGTAGAATAAGTGACCTCCAGAGGTCCCTTCCAGCCTTAGCTGTTCTGCTATTCTGTAAAATGGCACTAGACAACCGTGTCTGGACAGCAGACTCCAATGTGTTCAGCATAACTCAAAACTGTAAATGGCCGGTAAGAATAGGTGATCCCACAAGAAAATAATAGCTTAAAGCATTGTGATCTCCAGATTTCACTTCAGCAGAAGGTGTTAACTCTCTTGATATAAGGTAATGCAGAGATGTCTAAAAAAAAACAAAACAAAACAACAACAAAAAATAAATATGACCAGACCAAACCAAACCAAACCAAGCCAAGCCAAGCCATGCCAAGCCAAGCCACAAACCAAGCAAGCAATCAAACAAACAAACAAAGAAACAACAGAGAAAAGCTGGGATCTTTCTTTCCACAGCCCACAGTTCCTAATCAGGAGCATCCTAGCCATGGCTAAGTATGCTCTGAACATCATATTATGTTAATATATTAATAACATGTAAATGTTTTCAGAATAAACTACAGTCATGTAAATTTTTTGGCTCTGAGCTTATTTTATTCTGACAGAGCAGTGTATTTGATCTGGGCACAAAGCAAATTAACATTTTCAGAACTCATTAGTATGTGTGAACATCAGGCAAAGGTGACAAATCAGTTTGGTAGACTTCCATTATTCTAGGCTGAAAAGTCAGTCATTTGGGTGATTTGGTACGCATGAACCAAAGCACACTACAGTCTGTGAGAGTTCTGCGAGTAACTAAAAGGGAATTTAGGTCATACCCTTGGACACAGTGGTTAATGCAGTGACAAAACACAGAATTAAGTTTAGACTTTGACTCTCTTTATAGATACATGGAATTATCAGCTGGAACAGACTCAGTAGTACTAGGTTGTTTAATTGTCCCTTAGTGTGCTACTTGCTGTAGGATAATTCCCTTTGGTATAACAGGTCTCTGGTGTTTTAATTGTTCACTGTTAATTTCAGAGATGTAGTAATTAATATGGTCTATTAGATATAGTCAACGACTTATGTCTAACCATTAAAAAAAATAGGAAAAATAAACTTTAGTCAAGTGCATCATCAGCCACTACTTACGACTAACCTATCATTTACTAAATTTACTCTATACACAAATACTTGGTTTATGCAGACAAATCCTCATTTCTTCAGAATTGTAGGAGAATGTATTAGTTCATACACAATGAAAAACAACAACAACAACAAACTATCACATTATTTGATAAAATTGTGTACCTTCAAAGAATTTGGAGAATGAAATCAAACAACATAACTTACATTGGCAAAAGTATTTTATTTCCTTTGTAGGAAAGAATAGATAAGGGAGGGTTAGGGGAAATAATACATAAACTGCCATAAATTTCTATGAGCCAATCACAAACATAAGAGATTTGGAGACTGGAGCAGTGGAATGGTTCATCTTATATTATTACATGTTCAGTAAGGTTTTCAGTCAGCTTGAGGAAACAAAACAACAAAAAATAATATCAAAGAATAGAAAACCTTTGAAAGTGGTCCAGCCAAATAGCTCATATACACTGCTCAGCAGAGCACAGTGATACAGTCCTTGAGCTACCACCGACTTCAAATTGCTCATCTGAAAGAAACAACACGATATATCTTGTAGAAATACACAAGTCATCTGGAGAGCAGTTAAGATATGCTGATATAGCTGGTCAAAGTATTCCAGGACAGTCAGACTTCTTCTGTGACTATGCTTCTCTAAATCTCACCTGCCTTCAGATCTAGTTAGGCCAGATTCCCCTACATCATCCTCCATCACAAGATATCAACATGCCTAGAGTCACTGTATCTTATGATATTGGTTTTCTTATCTGTTTCATTCCCTTCATGTTCCCCGTGTAGTCATTTGTGCAATAATATATATAGTTAATATTTCAAATATAGGAGATATATTGTTAATTGTAGTAGGACTTCAGGCAAATTTTTGAGAATGAGGACTAGATTTTTTTTTTTCCCCTTTAAATCTCTTTTTGTTTGCATCCTGTTTTCAGAGAAATTGCAAGCTGTTCTGGGCATATGTCTTCTTCCGTCAAGATGGCATGTTGGTGTGGCCCACAGGGGGACATGCTTGTGTAAGCATGTCTTCCAACAACTCTGTGACTACTAAAAATAAGAGTAGTAATAAAGAAATCATATCTCTATCTCACATCTTCCTATTTTAGCTCTTCCTTCTTTTTACAAGTTTAAAGTTATGTTTTAAAGGTAAGAATTTTAGACACAGGTATGTTTTTTTTCTTTCCATTTCATATTTTTTTTCTTTTTATTTTTAAGAGTGAATGACTGGTATTTTGACTAGAACCACAAGGTGTCTACAGCTCTTCTCTGAATTTCTGAAATAATGTTTTCACAGGAAGGTGTAGAATACATCCTCCTTATCATAGGCCTTTGCAAAATATTTTCTCATAATTGACTGTATGTAGTTTATTATAGGCCAATGACATCAACCAAAGGTCAGGCTATTTGTTACCTATTAGCTGCAGACATTTCATTTCATGAATAGGTCTGCACTCTCCTCATATATTCTTTTCCATGTTGTTATGTAGTTCACTAGACAACGAAAATCTCTTTTGTATCTTTCTGAAACATGGAATACCAATTCAGATCTTTTGTATTCCTTCTTTTCCTGAGACTAAAATACCCCAAATCCCTTAGCCACTAAGTCTCGTTCTCTAGTCCTTTCATCAGCTTCATTGCTATTCTCCAAACACGTTCGAGTAACTCAGTATCTTTCGTGTAGAGAGGGGCCTAAAATCAAGCACAACAATCAAGGTGCAGTCTCATCAATGCCGTGTAAAAGGGGACAATCACTTCCATAGTCCTGCTGGACACACTATACAGGCCATTATGTCATTAGCCTTCTTGGCTACCTGGGATCAATGCTGGCTTGTGTTCATGGCTCATATGTTAGTGAATGTCTGGATTCTATTTTAGTACATTCAGTAGCATTAAGACAAATCTGATCTGTAAAATATCTTGTCTAACCTATGTATTTTGAACAAATACATTAGTTTTCCCAATTGTTACATGGAATGAAAAAAAAAAAACAAACAAAAAGTTTAATGAAACCGTAGTCATTGTCTAAAAAATGTACTAGATTATATTGCTCAGGAGCAGAATAGTAAAAGATTTATTCTGAAGTGTATGTATGTTGGGGGTTAACTCCAAATTAGGGTAGGTTTGATCTGAATGCTGTTGGCAAAACTGATCTAAGTGCAGTATTGATGTGACTGGAGCTGTCATGTAGTAGTTCTTCAGTCAAGCACTCTCCTTTTGCTGGTAGTCTTTTATAGCAGTTCATAAAAGCTGACTATAATGGGGTTACAAGAATCCAAGCAAGATTAGTAATGGGAGTGAAATCTTACGGCAGTAATTCAAACTGTGCTGAACTATTTTGCTCCGGGACAGATCTACATGTGAAACCAAATAAAAATTACTACTGAGGAATTTTATTATGTTTTAGAAAGTCACTAAATCTGGTCCCTTTATGAACTTCTTTGGTGACAAAATAAAAATAAATAAATAAAAAATCAAAATTAAAAAGAGAGTTTCTCTTATTGTGAATTGTGTTTCTGAATTTCATTTGGTTTTCACTGTTTTTGAGAGCAACTGGTTTTCAAGTGGGTGATGTACATAGCCTACTCATGCAAACTAGTTTTTCAAATACATTTGGAAGACAGTGGATAGAGCTGTACAGAACATTTGCCAGAATATAGCAACATTTCCTAACACTGCTAAAGGATCTGGAGATTGATTTTCTGCTATTCATAATTGTTTAACTAACAGAAAAACTCCTTCTAAACATTCAAAATTACTTATTTAATTAAGAGTGTTGTTTTGATGTTGTTGCTGCTTTTGTGTTGCTTTTTATCTGTTAAAAAGAAAAAAAAAAAAATCTTTTGCTATATTTTTTGTTACCTGAACAACAACAGGGAAAGATGTATTGTGCTCATGTAACAAGGGTTTGGTAGCAGGGGACCTGCAAGGATGATATCTGTGAAAAGAACCCAGAAGCTCCCCCATGTCAGATCAGAGCCAGTTTCAGACTGCTAAGAAAGGGACCCGCCCCATCAAAAGCTGAGCAAATGAGCTATGCTGATTGTACCTCTATGAGAACAGATTTAAGAAAAGGAAAAAAAAAAAAAAAAAAAAAAAAGAAAAGGAAAAAGAAAAAGAAAAAGAAAGAAAACGCCTTCTGTGCAACACCGGCTGAGAAAGGAAGGAGTGAGAAGCAGCTCTGTCAGCCTCCAAGGTGAACGCAGCAGGAGGGCAGGAGGTGCTGCAGGCATGCAGCAGCAGTTCCCCTGCAGCCTGTGGAGAGGCCCCTGGTGGAGCAGGCTGTCCCCCTGCAGCCCATGGGTCCCACATGGAGCAGATCTCCACGCTGCAGCCCCCCCATGGGTGGAGGAGCCCCCGGTGGAGCAGGTGGATGTGGCCTTGTATTGGGTCTGGCTGGAATGTTAACTTTCCCGGCAGCAGCCCATACAGTGCCGTACTCTGTACTTGTAGCTGGAACAGCAGTGTTATCACACCAGTGTTGTGTCTGCTGCTGAGCAGCAGTGGCACAGTATTAGGCCTTTCTCTAACCCTCCTAGGGGGTGGGCAAAAGGTGAGGAGAGAAACATCACTAGGGCAGCTGGCCTAAACCAATCAAAGGGATATTCCATACCATGTGATGTCACACTCAGCAATAAAAGGTGGAAACAGGAAGAAGAGGGGAGGGGTGGGCTCTCGTTTGGAAGACGTCGGTCCTCCTCTCGAACACCGGCTGCGTGCGTTGAGGCCTTGCTTCAAGGACGTGGTCAATCATCGCTCATTTGTGGGAAGTAGAGAGTAATTTCTTTCTTCTGCACTTCCATATAGCCTTCATTTATTTTGTTTGTTTGTTTTCCTCCCTTCTTTTTATTTTCCTTTTTGCTGGAGGAGGCTGTGGCCCATGGAGAGCCCCCGCAGGAGCAAGCCCCGGGCCGGAGCTGCAGCCCGTGGAGAGGAGCCCACGCAGGAGCAGGGGGTCTGGGGGGAGCTGCCAGCACCCGTGGGGGACCCGTGCTGGAGCAGTTTGCTCCTGGGGGATGGGCCCCGTGGCATGGAGCCGTGTGGGAGCAGTTCCTGAAGAGCTGCTGCCTGTGGGCAAGCCCCTGCAGGCTCAGTTCGGGAAGGACGGCATTCATGGGAGGGACCCCATGGGGAGCAGGGGCACAGAGGGACTGTGAAGGAGCGACAGAGCGGAAGGGTCAGGGACTGACCGCAGACCCCATTCCCTGTGCTGCTTGGGGGAAGGAGGTAAAAGAGGGTGAATAGAGGGAAGTTGTTTTTAGTTTTTTGTTCTCACTTTTTGTTCTTACTGCTTTAGACTGTTACTAGTAATAGGAAATAAAATACATTAATCTCCCTATGCTGAGTCTGGTTTGCCTTAACAGTAATTCTCTAGTGTGCTCCCTGTTGTTACCTCAGCACATCAGCTTTTTTTTTTTTTTTTTTTTTTTTTAATCATACTTTATCTTCCTGTTCTTTTGAGCAGGGGGAGTGAGAATGAGTTGTGGTGGACCGTATCTAACCATCAATGTTAAACCACCACAAAAGAACAAGGTGAACATATATTACTTGTATTTTCCTTAAAAAATTAAGAGGGGAGAAGGGGTAAATAGAATATCATAGCAGAAGGAAACAATATGTTACTGCTGCAGGTGGGATACTTTTTTTTTTTTCTTTTTTCTTTTTTTTTTCCTGGTAATATTTAGGAGTCAATGAAGCTTATATATACACAAATAAAACTCCCAAGGAGCCAGAAGTGATACTAGGAGCTTTCATTCTCTTATCCTCAGAACCTTGTCTCTGTAATAGTCATGAGGCTGCCTAAAGAGACAGAAAGCAAAGCAGAGCTGAGAGCATCCAAGAAAGCAACAGAGATAATGGAAAAACAATGTACATGAGCTTGCCTGGCTTGCGCAGTGAACCCTGAGCAATTCCAAGTTGTATTTTAAACTGAATGCAAAACCAGCAGGACTTTTTGAGATCAAAGGCTGCAAATTCATGGTTATGAAAAATGCAGATGTGCTACTATGCTTGTAGTTAAAGCTTCTTAAAATCTAATTTCTGGCATGTGTTCCCCAACTCTTCCCTTGGTCAAATTACAGGGTACAAGCAGGGCAAAAAAGACAATCTTCAAATTACATCTAATTGTGTAAAAACGTCTTGTGTTTCCCTAACCAATACCATTTAATTGCATCTGTTTAAAAGGAGAGATCTGGTAGAGGAAGTTAAACATATATCTGATTTTTTTTTTCCAGCTCTATGAGAGGAGCAATACTGTGGCAAACGGCTGGTTCTTTAAAATGTTATGACTTTTTCTCAAGTATAAGAAGGTAAAAATTATAACAATTTTATGTGTAAAATTAATCATTTCTAGGTAATATTATTTCACCTCTGATTCTAGAAGATTCTTTTCCAATGAGTTTATTTTGGTAAGCCACTCCCCATCACATTAAGCCACTATCCAGGGTATTTGAAACGTCATGGCAGTCTGGTGAAGTACCCACTGACTAGAAGAGGGGAAGCATAACCCCCATTTTAAAAAAAGGAAAAAAAAAAGTCACAAGTAACTGCAGGCCAGTCAATCTCACCTCTGTGCCGAACATCCTCCTGTAAACTCTACTAATGTGCATGTCAAATAAGGAGGCTTCACTAAGAGCAGATTGTGCCTGACAAATCTGGTGGTCTTCTATGCTGGGGCTACAGCAGTGGTGGATAGGGGAAGAACAACTGACATCTATGTGGACTTATTCAATGCATTTGACACTGTCCTCCATGACATCCTTGTCTCTAAATTGGAAAGACATGAATTTGACGGGTGGACCACTACACAGGTAAGGAATTGGCTGGATGGTCAAGCTCACAGAGTTGTGGTCAATGGCTCAATGTCCAGTTGGAGATCAATAACAAGTGGTATTCCTTACGGGTTAGTACTGAGACCTGAGTTTAACACCTTTGTCTGGACTGGGTTTAACATCTTTGTCAGCGACATGGACAGTGGGATCAAGTGCACCTTTATTCGAGCTTGCCTATAACAACAGGGTATGTGGTGCAGTTGACACACTGGAGGAAGAGATGTGATCTAGAAAGACCTTGACAGACTTTAGAGGTGGTCCTGCGCAAAACTCATGAACTTCTACAAGGCCAAGGTCTTGCACTTGGGCTGGGGCAATCCCAAGCATCAATACAAGCTGGGCAGAGAATGCATTTAGAGTAGCCCTGAGGAGAAGGACCTGGGGGTGTTAGTTGATGAGAAGCTCAACATGAGTCAGTAATGTGCGCTTGCAGCCCAGAAAGCCAACCATACCTTGGGCTGCATCAAAAGAAGCATGGCCAGCAGGTCTATGGAGGTGATTCTGCCTCTCTGCTCTGCTCTTGTGAGACCCCACCTAGAATACTGCATTCATATCTGGGGTCCCCAGCACAAGAAGGACATGGACATATTAGAATGAGTCCAGACATGAGTCCAACAAAGATGATAAGGGGGATGGAGCACCTCTCCTGTGGAGACAGGAAGAGAGAGCTGGGGAAGTTTGGCCTACAGAAGAGAAGGCTCCAGGGAGACCTTACAGCAGCCTTCTGGTACTTAAAGGGGACCTACAGGAAATCTGGGGAGCTATTCTTTGTCAGGCAGTGCAGTGATAGGACAATGAGTAATGGTATTCCTAAAAAAAAGGTAGATTTATATTAGATATTAGATATGAGGAAGAAGTTATTTACTCAGAAGGTGGTGAGGCACTGGCACAGGCTGCCCAGAGAAGCTGTGGATGCCCCATCCCTGGAGGTGTTCAAGGCCAGGCTGGATGGGGCTTTGGGCAACCTGGTCTGGTGGGAGATGTCCCTGCCCATGGCAGGGGGTTGGAATTAGATGATCTTTAAGGTCCTTCAAAACCCATTTTGTGATTTATATTTCTATGATTTAAATATATTTACACCATTTTTGTTTAGAAATCCATCCATATTCAGTGATTATAGTCCAGTAATATACATGTAAGTTTATCTTTAAGGTTACATCAGGGATAGCAGGTTCATATCAACGACTATGTTTTGATTTATATTGGAAGGCACTCTGTGCATGCAGACTATATTCCTTTTGGATGAAACTAAATTAGAAGATCTACTTCAAGACAATTCTCAAACCACCAATGTGTATTCAATCCATTAATCAATACCAAGACTAATTTAAAATAAATGCCCTGGAAAACATAATTGTGTAGATTTCAAACTGTCTTCACAAACTTTCACTTTCCAGATCTCCCTCTGCTGCACCACACTGCTTTGTTAAGAAAGACTCAGTCCTTGGATAAAAACTCACTATATGTAGAAGATTCTTATCTCATATCCTATTCCTCTTGAAAGTCATTTTGCCATTTTGTGTCACACTTTCTGATTTTATCAGTTCTAGGGATACCATCAGGATATGCCAAACTCTTTAAATAGCAAACAGTTAAGATCTTATCTTATTAGATCAATACATATAAAAGACCAGATACTACTTCCATTTAATTCAAAAAAACAGTTTACTATTGATTTTCATACATGTAATACGGGCCTTCAGTATGAGAATATTGCTGATTTCTTATTTAAATGTTAATGATTAAAAATAGAGAAACTGAACTGAAGGAAACACAACAGAAAGTATAATGTTCTCTCTTATCTGAAGAATCAATGCAGCAGGGTCAAATAACAAGAATCTAGATAATCTGAAAAATTAAAGTATATTAATATTAATCTTTGTTAGAACGTGACCATGAAATGAAATTGTTCACTAGAAGAATAAAAGCAAAATAGCGGAGGTCTGTGTAAAAGCTTCCTTCAGGAAATAAGTAATCCTACAGTTCATATTTCAGCACTTGCTTAATACTTTTGGACTTCAGTGGCTTAGGTAAGGGACAAGGAAAAGTTCCTTTGGTAAGGGACAAACTCTTAATTAGGGCCTAGCTATCTTTAATTCTGTGAATTTTCAGGCTTAGGCCAAAACCTATGACAGACAATATAAATTTATTTATTTATTTATTTATTTACAGCAGAATCAACATGCTTTGGAAAAGGTAGATGGAATTTAATCTATGGCATTTGTTATTCAGGGGTGTTTCAGTCCTCTAAACACAGAAACACATCATTGAGGCAGCAATATTACAAACTAGAAGGTCTAAAGTACATTAACTATTGAAACATGTATTGCTAGTGAAATGCATACGTCACATAAGAATGAAAATACTGTTCCTGGAATATGTTGTGATATTTAATGAAACAGCTAGATCATTTTTGAAAGAAAAAGGAGGCTGAAGATAAAATGAATCACATTATGAATCTCACATATTGCCTGCTGGACCAAATATATTACCTGTTTTGTCAGCTGTAAACCACAGGACTTGCAAGTGGCCAAACACACTGGATGAAATTTAAAATATTTGAAAAACTACAGACATTAGGGCATATACGCTGAGGTCAGGAGTTTGCAAAACAGTTGCTTGCTATCATTCATTTATTCTCAAGTTTGGCCTCCTCTTGGAATTGCCTGCTCTCACCTGGTTTGTGACTGGCAAACCTTTAGATACTTTTTTAAGAGTAAAGACAAGAGTTTTGAAGGGGTTAGATACAGATGTTAGTGGTAAAAAAAAAAAAAAAAAAAAAAAAAGTGATTTCTGAAAACTACTCTATTTGAAAATATTAAATAAGAAGGTGAGGTGATCATTGATGATAAGTGATCGTTGCATATAACTAGGCCTGAAGCAGCCCGACTAGTTACAAAAATTTCTTTGTAGGCTGACAAAGAAATAATTGAACCTATTATTTTATAGAAAGCAGGAAGGAAAATGATCAGCTCCTGTTCAGTGATTCCAATGTGCATGCTCTGTTAGGATTACATGAGAAGGTACAGCTCAGTTTGCAAATGATAGATCTGATGTGGTATCTAGGACATGTCCTTGGCTCTCTTGCTGTCCATATGGAACTAATAATTTAGAAGGGTTTCTCTTTGAACTAGCTTAATGGAAACATTTAATTTGATCTTGAAGGGGAATCTATGTACATCTATCCAAGTCCTAGTACTTTATATTGTTTCAGGGCTGAAATTTCAGCTCTTGATTTATACTTTTATTTGGCTCAGTACGTGTTGTTTGCATTGTGCTGAGTTATGCTATATACAGTTCGGACTATGCTAGCAATGAATATTGTTAACTCATAATAGAACCTGATTGTTACTAATGGAGAATACTTTTTACAAAATTAAAATTAATTAGATACAGTTGTCTATGGCATATGTGTCTTCTAGACCATTAAAAAAATGTAAACTTCAGGCAATTTTCTATTTATTTTATATTTTTTATATATTTTTTATATATTTTATATATTATATATAAATATATATTTATATATATTTTCTATTTCTCTATATATTTCTAAAGTATATATTTCTATATACTTTAGAGATTTTGAAGAGGTTTTGTTTGATTGATTTTTGTTTGTTTGTTTGTTTTGTTGTTGTTTTTTTGTTGTTGTTGCTTGTTTTATTTTGTTTTTCATACACTTTTGTAAAACCCTGTCAGAATAATTGCCTACACAATTCTGAAGACATTCATGTGGGGACCAGTATCTACCCGTCCAGAGGTATATTGTTTCCCCTTCAGAGCATGAAAGAATAAATGGAAAAAATGGTCTTGCTACAAACAGAAAACTTTCATTAATGTGTCAGAAATCCAGCTTTCCTTCCATTGAAAATTGTGTTAAACACAGGAAACTTTCAACAGTAAACCATAGTATAAAGAAGTAATCTTTTGTAGAGAACATCAGCTGAAATAAAATAATTTACAAATTGACAGGACACTTTACCACTCCACAGTCACAGATTTAAAAAAAAAAAAAAAAGAACTAAAGAAAGAAAAAGGAATGAAAAGAATGAAAGGCCAAGTGAAAGAGCAAGCTGAAATAGAAATTAATCCAATGTAATCAGGAGAGGAGGGGAGGGGACAGGGGGACAGTAGCTGAAGAAATGCCTCAGTGACTGACAGATGTGTGGTAGAGCTGCTTTGTGTCTCTGAGGCCACCTTCCAACATAAAAAATGTTCCCATACTAAGCATTTCATCAGGAGGAATAACAGATGGCCTCTTTCTTCCTCTGTCCAGAATACTGTAATTTTATCAGTAAAAGGATGACTTAAGACATATTACTATCTGTTTCTTGTAGGTTGCTTCAGAGACAGCTGTTGCTGTTCTCCTATGAGAGAAGAAAACAGGACTGCTTGTAGAATGTCCATCATCTTGGGTTACAAGGTCACAAAGATGGAGAGTCAGAATCATACATTTTGAACCTCAGTCGCTCATATGACTGCTGCTCTCTTTTTGTCTGGAGGCTCTGATCTTACTTGGGGTAGATGTATCAGGTATCTTGTTTGCCAGCTCCTCTTCATCAATATATGACTTGTAGAGCCTCACACAGGTATTGATACATGATGTGCTGTCCCAGATTATGATAGATTCAAGCAGAAGTGTCAAAATAGTTTTTCTTCCTTCCTCTGAGGACAGGAAGCTACCTGTATATTTAGTATTAATCAGAAGGAACATCTGTCAGACAGAGTGTATAGAAACTACCTCGAGTTCTTAATATATCATACAACATTTCAGATAGGGAGAAGAAATGCAACATCGAATGGATAACTTTGTCATGTCATGTGCTCCCTGGCACCTAACATCATTCTCCCCATATTTTTTGCAGTTTAATCTGTGTATGCGGAGGTGGACTTACCAGCAAATACCTAGCATAGCATTAGAGTCTCTTCTCCCACTATTCTCCCAATGCTTATGCCTTGGAAGACTGTAGGATAAGAGAGTAGACAGATAAAGCTGTTGAGAATGCTCTTTACTTTGGAGTTTTTGTTTTCTTTCTTTCTTTTCTGTTTTTTTGTTTTGTTTTGTTTTGTTTTGTTTTTTAATATTTAGGAAAAGAAGGTGTAGACTAATTATAACATATTCAGGGAAACAGAGAATAATGAAATTCCATAGAAAATACGAAGTTTCAGGTAACTTGGAGTAGGAGCTGGTCTCCTGGCTGTGCTGAGATTCGTAGCTCAAATTCTGATGTTTATGTACTACAGATCTAGAGTTAAATTTGATGAATACCATTGTGGATTCTTGGTAACACAAGATCTTTTAATGAGGGTCTGCCTTATAGAGAATTATCTGCTTGATTTCCTAAGAATGTGAGTCAAATTTGGATGAACAGGGAGAAAACTAAGGAGTAGTTAGCTGGTATTTTTCTAGTAATTCACAGAAGACTGAAGCTCACAGCAAGAAATTCTTAAAGATATATATTTTTTTCACATTATTTTTCATTTACAAAGCACTGTGGATTGCAGGATGACAAAATGCAGGACCCTTGACGTAAATGATACAAGATAATTCCTGTGTATCTTCTCTCAGACTTTTATGTTGGAGCATGGTAATCTTTAAATTAGAATTAATTTCTAATTAATTAATTAGAAATTAATTAATTTCGCTTTGAAAGGAACTGTGACCTCAACCACTTACTGGAAAGGTGAGTTAGAGTCACTGGCCTACAAATTCAGGTATCTGTACTGTGTCTCTGTAAAGTTACGAGATTAATCTTGGCAACAGAGTTGAAGACATCGTGAGAATTTTGTTTGTCTTTCCCTCCTAGCCTCAGTACTCTGTAAAGTAGTGGATTACAGTCCCCACAGGACTGTAGCTAGTTGTCTTCAAAGTTCAGGTTTGCCAAAACAACATTTCCTTGACATGACATTTAGAGGAATGGTAAAGTCCATCTATCAAACTTCTATGTCTTTTCTAGATTGGTATCAGGAGGAAAAAGATGTGATGCTTTTACCCAGCTGGGGCAGTTAACCACCACAATCATTCTTTCACTCTCCCTTAAAGGAGAAAGGGAAAATATGATGGAAAGTGCTCAAGGGTTAAGATAAGGACAGAGAGATCACTCAGCAATAATCATCATGGGCAAAACCGACTCAGCATAGGGAGATTAACATAATTTCTTGCCTATCACTAGATGGACTAGAGCAGTTAGAACTAAAAGCAAAATAAAAACACCTTCCCCCATCCACCCTCTTCCACCCCATAGTAGCACAGAGGAACAGGGACTGGGGGCTGTGGTCAGTTCCTGATGCTTCATCTCTGCTGCTCCCTCAGGGTCCCTCTCTGCTCTTGCTCCCCATGGGGTCCCTCCCACAGGATGCTGTCCTTCCCGAACTGAGCCTGTGGGGGCTGTCCACAGGCAGCAGCTCTTTAGGAACTGCTGCCACATGGCTCCATCCCACGGGGTCCATCCCCCAGGAGCAAACTGCTCCAGCACGGGTCCCCCACGGGTGGGTGGCAGCTCCCCCCAGCCCCCTGCTCCTGCTTGGGCTTGTCTCCATGGACTGCAGCTCTGGCCCGTGGCCTGATCCTGTGGGGGCTCTCCATGGGCCGCAGCCTCCTCCAGGCCACATCCACCTGCTCCACCACTCATTGGCTTGGCTCTGTCCAGTGGCAGGTCCACTCTGGAGCTGTCTGGAGCTGGCTCTGATCTGACACAGGGCAGTTTCTATGCTCTTCTCACAGAAGCCACCCCTGCAGCCCCCCTACAACCAAGTCTTTTGCCACATAAACCCAATAGAAGAGGTAATAAGTTTTCAGAAATATAATTCTGTAGAATCAGCTATGGTGTTTTAAATTTTCAAGCCTAATAAAACTTGCCACATTGCACTACAGCTAAATCAAATAATCACAAAATTAAAATTAAAGAAATGTTAGGGCTGGAAGAGACCTCTTCAGATCATCAAACCCAACTCCCTGATCAAAATTCAGGACAGTGTCCAGTGAGGTTTTGAATATCTCCAATGGTGGAGACTCCACATCCCCTTTTGGGCAACTTGCTCCCTATGTTTGACCACCCTTACAGTAAAAATGTGTTTTCTTGTGATCAGATGCATTATGATTATTATTTTTTAATTATTATTAATACATTTTTGCTATATCACAAGATTTTGGTTTCCACCAAATCTTTTTCCCTCATCTTCATTTCTTCCAGTTAGGCATTTACACACATGGTTAAGATCCCCCTGAGCCTTCTCTTCTCCAAGTTAAACAGTGTCAGTTCTCTCGACCTTCCCTGATGAGACAGATATTCCAATCCCTTATGCATCCTCAACTCTAGGGGATTTTGTTGCTGTTTATGTTTGTTTACATGTTTGTTTACATTTCTAAGACGTATAATCAATCATGAAACACCATCATTGGGAAATGATGCTTCCCTCTGTTTCTAGTAAGGCATGTAACATTTACTTCTGTCAGCAGCTTCTTTGCTATACTGTACCACTAAGAATTTAAGTTGGCAAATGAATAGAAAAAAAAAAAAAAGAAAAAAAGAAAAAAAAACATATACAATGTTTTCCTATTTGATAGCAAAGGAGCAAACAAGCATATATAGGTATACTCAGAGAAACTACTACTTTTCTGGAGTTTTTTTGTTTGTTTGTTAGTTTTTGTTTGTTTGTTGTTTGTTTGTTTGTTTGTTTTTCAGGTAAAACCTGGTAATTGACTGTATACTTCTCAGTGAAAAAGTATCAGATGGACCAATTTATCAGCTGAGGAGTGGGAATCTTCTCTGAGAGGAAAAAAGCTTCAAGCATGTCTTCAGCTTGTGATCATGTAAATATGCAGTTACATGAAAGTGTTTTTTTCAGTAGTTTTGGATGGTATTTATGTACTGTTTCACTGAGAAAGTAACATTTTTAAGTGGAGTGGAAATTTCATTTCTTTCTCCCCAAAACACAGTACTCTGTGAAAGCATTTTGAGTCCAAAATATCTGTATGTAGAATAATAGCCTTTCTACCCACAAACTACATTGCAGTACTTGTGACTGTTCTGAAGAAAAGTCTTAGTTCATGAAATCATCTTGGTTTTGATTTGCCACATACATGTAATCCTCATAGTTCTAATCATACAGAGGCTTTGTAATACCCCTATGCACTTCTACGAATAAATGTCTTCCTGTTAGATGGAAAAATGGTTTTGTTCTTTAATGCATGTGTGCTTAGAATATTGGATGCATACCTTATGGAAAACTCAGATTAAGTTAATTGCTTAATTAGTTAATTTAATAAGTAAATATTAATTATCATTAATTCATTTACTCTGAGAGCAACTGTATCTATGCAAAACCACCTTAAAACAAAGCTAATTCTTTAGAGAAAAGAGTAAATTATGCTTTTGCTAATAGAGTTTGCCATATTGTCTCAAGCTAGGCTAAAATGCAGCAAGAGAGTAAGCCCAAGAGTAAATATGATTTGTGGTTTATTTTATTAGTGTTCAAAGATTATCCTGTTAGGTGGAGAATATTTGCTAAGGAAAATTGATCCTGTTAATTTATCTTTGTTTATAAAACATTAGAGATGATGTTTAGATCATATATTAACATATCATCCATAATATGCAAGAACCAGATGCTCATGTTATGCTTTTAACTGTGATTGCTTGCTCTTAAAGCTTCTTTTTATGCATTTTTACTTTTATGGAAAGTAACAATTAAACTTCAATTATAAGTTCATTCTGGATTGTCTTTATTTTTTTTCTTTTAAATTAAAGATATTTTTCCCTGTGTGTGTGTATATATATATATATATATATATATATATATATATTTTTTTTTTTCCTTTCTTAATTTGCTTTGCTGTCTGTGTCACTGCACATAGCTCCCCTAATTTACACTTTTTAGGGATGGAATATGCGCCTTGCTGAACTTTATGGTCATTTGTCAAATCTCATTTTGGGTGTCACCTAGTAGAGGAGTACAGAGGACATCTCCTGCAGCAATGGGTGTAAATACAGTAATATGCCAGGGCAGGTTGCATCATTATACCTACTCCAAAATTCTAGAAGCATAGCTGTGAGAAACTGAGGAAAAGTAGTCTAAATTGCCTAGTCCAGCATGATAGGCCAGGCAGTTTCATGCCTGTTTTCATCAGCATTGCAACTGAATGCAAAACCCAAATGATGAACGCGTATCAATACCTCTGATTCTCACACATTACAAATATTTGGGAAATCGATGTGCTTTAACATTGACAGGGTTACTCCCACGGGTTTTATTTAAGGAGTACTGTTGCTACTGATGACAGGAAAGCACAGCTAGGAATCAGCTTGGGGGAAAAAAAAAAAAAAGGCCAAAAAAAAAATGTTAAATGAGTGAAAAATAACCCTTTCCACATACCTTTCACTGGACAATTCCAATACCTTAGCACAAGCTATGCAAATCAGTGATTCATCCAAGGCCTGAAGAGCCTGTGGCAGTGTGAGAGGCTGAGATACTGAAGCAAGAACTGACACAGTTCTCTAAATAAATGGGAGGCTATTTTTCAGCCTCCCTTTACGTGAAGTTGCAGATGATGGTGATCCTGTAGAAAAACTAAGAGCAAAACGTTGTCCAATCTGCAATCTACAGATAGCAGCATCAAATCAACAAATAAACTGCATTCATTTCCTGTCACTGGCTCTACCCCTTTGGATCACGCTGCAATTGAAAGTGGATGTGAAAGTCCATCCCAGTCCTGAAACTCCTCTGGATATTCTGCAGATCCAAGCAAATTGGTTTTGATCACATTACACCCTAACTTTTATGTCCTGCAACATTAAACCACATTGATGAGTCTGGAAAAAAGAGGAAGAGAATTAGAGCTCATATAGGCATGAGAATAAAATTTAAAAATAAATAAATAAAATAACCTCTATTTTTTTTTTATGTCTGTAAGCACAATTTTTATCTGAAGAGAAAAAAATAAATTCAATTTACCTTAGATATTTTTTTAGCTGTTCTGTGTGTTCATAGTGATTAGTTTAAGACTTGTGCTGTCCATTTGTGCATAAATGCACTTGAGTTGATTTTAATTAAAAAACAGCTTTAATAACTGGTTTATGCTGTTGAAAAAATAATTGGTTTTCAGTAAAATATTTATGTATGAAACTTACTGATTTATTAAAATGAGTATATTGTGCATGGAACTACTTTTGCCCAATTCTCCAAGATCTTTTAAATCCAGATCTTCTGATTGCTCAGGTGACTAATCCTAATCCCATCCAATTAAAAGGTACTATATGTGAGAAGTACTGTGGAATGGAGATTTCAGCCAGTTTCACATCTACTTAACATACAGCACTTTCCTAGGCATAAAAGATTTACTCATATTGCTACAATAACCAGAATCATAGTATTTTAATACAAAAACTCTCCCGCAGGACTGAATGTGAGAACCTCTTCAAAATGATTCACTTCTTCAGAATCTCTTTCTTTACTCATTTTATCTAGAAGACATATTAGTGGGATGATGGATTTGTGCAAATAAAATCAGCCCAGAAACTGAATCCAATGATCCAGAGAAAGAAGGCTGACAGGGTGAGAGGAGAAAGGTAGTCCCATGAAAGGCTGATCTCATGCACTTCATGTTTTATCCCTCAGGATCTCATTACTTCTCACTTTTACCACCTTCATGCCATGATGCTATGCTGAACCCTGTTTGCATTGTAGTGTTGCCCCTCCATCCAGCAGAGACAGACCACATTGCTTTTGACAGCACTGGAGGTGACAGGGTTCAGTGAAGACAAAAGATGGAGTATCATTTGTGGTGTGTTTGAGAGGCAGGAAAACTAAACTTGGTGCTCTTGGTGCAGAGGAGAACGACAAAGAAGGGAGGAATCTGGAGACACCTTTATTGTCAGATAAATTACATCCATTGACTCACCATGGACAGTATTGGTTTCTACAGACTTCAGTGCAAACAGAAATCTGGGGAATCTTATAGTATCTTTTATAGTATTCAGACAACCCCTGAAACAATTCCTCCTTTCCATAAGGAACAGAAAAGAAAACGTACTTTTAGGGGCTTCACATCTGATCGGGCTGAAAATTTATCTCAACATGCATAAGAGAAAGTATCATTGCTTTGAACTCTTGAATCCTGAGACTCTGTAGCCATTAATAGAACATAACAAGTCATCATCAAGGTAAGCTGATGCACAAACCTGCTAAGGCAGGTCTGCAGGTCTGTTGGCCACTACATATTTGCCAGGACATTGTACAGCCAAAAAGGAATTCTTTAAAGTAATTAAATGTATAAAACATAATAGCAATCTCCTTGGCTTCTGAGACCAGCAAAAGTAGTTGTTATTGCTAGGCAATTTTCAGAATTGTATAGTCCCCAGTCTCATTAGCCAGAAGTAAAAGAGAAGGTATGAGACCATAAACGTTTACAGAGCAAACCTTTTCATTTAGTTCAGTTGATGCTCTTTTCTTCAGTGCTACTTCTTAAAATCTCACCTAGGAAATTATGTTCCTCTAGTTTGACAGCAAAGTCTCCCCAGGCTTCTATTTCATGAATGAATCTTTTGGGTAGGAAAGGTATTTACTCCCTTCATAATTGAGTGCACCTGATTATGGACATCGATGAAATACTGAACTCAATCATGTTTTTCTGCATAATTTTATAAATCTAAAATATTTTTTGTGAGGTCAAAATTGTGATTCTGGATTCCCAACTAGTTAGGTTAAGGCTGTGTGTCTGTGATATTGAAGGGATAGGGACAATTCTCTTGAAATGTGTCAGCTGAGCTTTACCTATGCTTAGCAAAACCAGCAATTAGCAAGGCTTTTAGAAGAGAAGAGTTCTCTTAGGCTCCTTTGTTCCTTTGTCCTTAAGTTCCCTTAAGTACTTTAGTTCTGTGCCACAATAGAGAGATGTTTTTTTTCTGTTCTCAACAAACATTACAGTTCTTCATGGTATAGCTGAGCCGAGTGTTGATTTCTGAAGCTTTCGCCAGAAGATGTTTAATAATACTGTCACTCCAAGTGTATCCATGCCATGACAGGTTCTGACAAGGTGCAGAATATGGGACAGGTGTGAATTTACCATCTGCACTGCTACTGCACTACTGAGCCAGTGAGACTAGGAATTTAAACTAAATGAAAGACCTTAGGAGTGAAAGTCACAGCATACCTTATTCTTGAATCTATTTTGATACAGAAAAGCATTTCAGTCATATAGAATTGGGAAAACAATGTATGTCTTTCGCTGTCTTTTATACTGCATGCATCCAGATCCAATAACAGCTTGAAGTTTGTCTGCAGACATACAGTGTAGACATTTGTTAATATCCACATACCTGTGTGTTATCCTAGAAAACAGCAGATGAACTTTCACATTTTGTCATTGCCAACTTCCAGCATAGTGGCAGTTAAATGTGAGCCAGATTGGTTATGGGAGAAAGGAACTGTTTTTAATTAATCTGTTCTTGCCTAATGGGGGATTTGTGGCTAGAAAAATTGTCTAAGAATTTAAATACTTGCATGGTCTTCTGGCTCTGCTATTAACTCACCTTGGCAGATATTGGCGAGTAAGAGCCAAATTCTTTGATCACCCTTATTTTAGGGGTTGCTATTCTTAAGATTAATTGTTTGGCTTCAGAAGCATAACACAAAGCACCTTAACTAGGCAAATACAGTTGAGGACTAAACACACAATGATACCAAATACTTATTTACCGCTATAACCTATAATAGCTAATTTTGAAGAGTGAACCTATGTAAGTGAATAATTTCATATCATTGGGAGTTTTATGACAGGGAAAAGGAAAGATTTTGCAGACAGGAAAGCATCTGACCAAACAATTAATTTAGGAAGACTACATGTCTATTCACTGGGGATTGAGAGCATGTGTTTGACCCATGACAGTAACCACATATGTGGTACATGGAATAATCATGCCAGAAAGTCTCCTAGGGATCTTTTATGGGAAGATGCCACATTTAAAAAAAAAAAAAAATAGAAATAGAAATAGAAATAAAAATAGAAACAAAAATAAAAATAAAAATAAAAATAAATAAAAATAAAAATACTGTGAGTCTTTCCCAAATGAAATCCTTTCATGATCCTTCCAGATACTTCCAAGAGACAATACAAAAAAATGGATTTAGGAAGTAAAACAAAACAAAACAAAACAAAACAGAATTATTAATGGATGAGATAGAATTTTTACATTTTTTTTTCATGATGGTTGTTGGCATTTTTTGTTTTGTTTTGTTTTGTTTGCTTGTTTTTTCATGGCTTCTTTTCTGTTGGGAAAGAGGCAATGAATTCTTTCCAAAAGCTTTAAGTCTTTACAAGTATATCAGACTTATGTAAAACTCTAGCTTAAAGTTTTGTTTGTTTGTTTGTTGATTTATTTTTTTTTCTTCCTGTTGCATTTACTTATAAGATCAGTATGATCAAAAAGGAAATGGCAAACCACTTACAGGCAGATGAATGACTGGCAAGTAAAGGTTCAAATTCACAGTGCGTCAGAGAGAGAAACATCCAACCTTTGCTTTTTGTGTCTGCACACTGGCAGTTTTCCAAGCTTTTGCCCTCTGTGTGCTTCATACAGTCATTTTTCCATGTCAATGAGTCACAGTGCAACACATCAATACCTGCACTAATTTTGGTGAAAATAGCTTAGGTGTTAGAAACAAGAGTCTTAGAAAGTCTTAGAAACAGTGCAGAGCATCATGACTTCTGGGAA